GCATCTCTCAGGTCCATGGTAGAGTTAACATTTTCTTCGTGGCTAAGGAGGTCTTCCTGTGTCCCCTTCAAGTCAGCAGGAAGGGGAAAAGAGAAGTTGTGGCCGTCTCCCACTTTCCTGTTCAAGCTAGGACCCAGAACTCATCAAGTGCCACACCTGCCTTCAAAGGAGGTTGGAAATGCTTTCATCTTTCTTTTACTCACAGCAGAGAGAGTGGGTGGATGTTGGCAGGCAATTAGCAGACTCATCTAATTTCCTCTAAAAGAGATGTTTCTATCTTGCTCATAGCTCCTCATGACTTCTACAGTGATCATACGTGTATTGGGGTTCTTCATGGCAGTTTATCGGCTTATGAAAAGTGTCCACTCTTTGTCCTCCCAAACTACTGTGCAGGGTTTTGAAGACTTGAGTACCCAGTCTGTTCAACAGATTCTTTGGAACCTCCATCTCCTCTTTGCAAAATGACCTGCTCTAAGTTTCTTGGAAGCATCACCCTGTCCTCTGCCTCTGTGATCACCTGACATTCTCCCCCTGTATCTCTTCGTCTCTTATTGTAAGGACAGTGGCCATACTGGTGTGAGATTCCCCCTCATAATTTATAGTTCAGTTGTGTACATCGTTGTCCTATATCTGGTATTTCTCTAGTCAGCCATGAGGATTTTGTCTTGTAACTGATGATTGGAATTTGTACATATGTGGCGAACATGTTGTCTAAAAATATGAATATACTGTGGAATGAGTAAATCAAGTTACTCACCATATGTATTGCTTCACGTAATTTGTTTTATAATCTCATTTTTCAGTGATCTTATAGTATACGTTGTTATTAACTGTAGTCACAGTTATGCACTGCAGTTCTCTTCAGATTATTCCTCTCGTCTAGCTGAAGTGTTGGACCCTTTGACCAATATCTCCCTACCCTTCACTTCTCTCCTCCCACCCCAGCCATCTGCTCACTGTTCCCACACACAAAGACATTCCAAAAAGATTATAGCAAATAGAATTAACTATGTATTTTGGTGCACAAAATTTTGAAATCCACTGGTGATGCTTTGATAATATGCACTTTCCAAGGGCGTTCTGTAAACTTGGAGTAAGTGAGTTCTCACAGTGTTTACCTGTGTCTAGCTTATTTTATTTACTATCGTGTCCCCAGTTTCATGTGTGGAGTCCTAAAGGCCATCAGTCCTTTCCTTTTTAATGCTTAACAAGAATGTGCCCCAAAGCCACCTGGAGAACTTTGGCAGACTGTGGACCTGTGTTCTCACCCTACAACCCGCCATCGTGGTTCCCCCATCCTCAGGTGGTCAGCATTCCAATTAAATGTGCTCCCCATGCAAACCACACTGAACATTATATAGGTATGTGGCTGCCTCAGATTCTGCAGCCGCCAAACAACCCAGAAAATGTGAAGATTTCCTCTCCTTTGTCAGGTTGACCCAAAGGGATTTTATTCTATTGGATAGTTCCTTACCACTGCTTGCACTTCAAATAATGGAATCGGTTCCTTCAAGATATAGTGACAAGAAATGGGCAAAACCAGCCCATATCCTTACATGGGTTTAAGCTCCATGGAAATAACTGTTGATATCTTCAAGAAAGATAGTCCTAGACAAGCAAATATGAATTTTTCCTTTATAATGCTAAGCTGGTCCTCCAGCAGAGCAAGGAGAGGAAGGGAAGATATATCCACTTTCTTACCCAACTGTGCTTGCTCAGAAAGACAAAGTACTTCATTGCAAGGCAAGAGTTTATGCAATTCACTTGACAAAATATGTTGTTTTACTCTGACTGGGGAAATTCTGCCTCTAAACTACATTTGGTGCATGGCATTTAAGCCAACTGCCTCATTAAGCTGGGGATACTGAAGAAATTGTTTGCAGAATCGGGACATTTGTAATTAATGGTAAAATGTCAAGATTCCATCCGCCTGGTTCCTTGCCCCTTGGTTTCTTTCACTTAATTATCTCTTTAATGAAAAACTAACATACAGAAAAATAAAAATGCCAAGGAACAATGTGTTAAAGGACATTTCCAGAAAATAAACCAAAGCTGTCCTAGTTTTGTGCGGCTGGCCTTTGGGCTTGGCAGTGTTTCCTTTTATATACTACCAGCTCATTGCGGGATGCAATCGGAAAGCGCTAACCTTTGCTGCCATGCACACAAGATAGTTGTCATCCCCAAAATAGAAGGGTTTCCAAGTTCCCTTCCAACCACTGCATTGTGTAATCTGCTGTGATTGCTTCATGCACCTAAATCCTTGAACATTCCAGTGAAGTGAGTGGAAATACCCTGGCATTTGCTGTTGGCATTGATGCAAACAGAAAATTCTCAGCTCATCTTTAGGTTCAAACTTGGCTCATGTTTCTCAGTCCCTGTCCCCTACATGCAAGATTCTCCATGGTCTCTGTTGGTCAGCCCAGAGAAGTAGTATTCCCTTTAGGCGTGAGGATGAGCAAAGAAATGAGATGTAAGCATAGAAATGAGATGTAAACAAAGATAAATGTACATGAGCAGTGAACTTTGCACTGTGCTGCCTAGTCACTTCCCACCACACATACTGGGTAAGAAAGAAGTGGCCTGCTTGTGCAACATGCCATCTCTGTAGTTGCAGGAGGTTGCTCTGGGTTCCAAGAGAACAGATGAGTTGACTGGTCAAGCGTTTTATCACTATGGCTGGCTATTTTTGCAGTGCTTGTTGGTTGATAAAGGCTTCGTTGCAGCCAGCCACCTTTCTCTTTGTGATATTCCCGAGTTGCCTATGAATGAATGTCATGTGGAAATTGCTGCAGGGCTCCTCTGCTGATTTCTGCAGGCTCTGCTCCTCTCTCCTGTATGCCTTCGATTCTACTCATTCAAAGTGATTTCTGATTGGTCCCTTTCCTCCCAGCCCCACAGTGCAGAAGTTGATTGAGCAGAATCAACCGCAAATTACATTGCAAATGGTGCCTATTTTCTGCAGCAGAGCATCGGCTGGAGTCTATTACTCACCATACCATGCGAGTAGCTCAGACAGATCAGGTGATTCTGTATAAAGTCCCTGCTGAATCATCTCATGCCAGGCTTGCACCTGAAAGTCACTCTCCCGGCTGCTAGAGACGCTGGAAAATTACAGACTTTCAGACCTGGCTATGCATCTTTTTTGTCTCCTTCTCACTTACCTGAGTGGACCTTCCATTTTTGTCAGCCTCGCAATAGGTCCTGCATCACTGGGAGGGATGCTGCATGGGCACCATGGAAGGGATGTTAGAAGATGTTACTATGTACCCTCATTGGGGGCTCATACATAAGCAGCAATACTGGGGCTCGAACCCAGGACTCTGGCACTCTTTGTCTCACTGAACACTGTGTCCTAGATCCTGGGAGGCAGTGGGGAATGGGAATCTCAGTCTTGTCACAGGCTTCATGTGTCATGAAGCTTTACTCATAGTGATGGAACTCACACACAGAAAGCCACCATGACTTTACACAGGGAGGCTCTGCAGGGCGTGGGTGAGTCTGAGGGATGCTGTTCCAGTGGAGGAGGAGGAATCAGTTGGAAAAAGAACCTAAAGTAAGAGTTTGTCATTCCTACCATTGCTGCTCCAAGTACTGCTAGACACATGGGAAAGCCTGGGGGAAATGAGTTGGTCTGCCCTGAGCTCAAACTCTGACTCTAGCCCCAGCCCCAGGAGGAACCATTGCAGACGGACCCATGTAATCCTCTGAACTTGACTGGAGATGTTGTCATGGATGACAGCCACAGCGTTGCCACTGACAAGGGCCTGAGTCCTCCTGGGATCAAATCTCATCCTCCACGTCCCTCTCAGAAGCCACTAGGGTCAAAGTTGGACCAGCTTGCAGTCTTCCCTCTCTGCACTTTCGGTTTGCTGCAGTGTATGTTACTGTCTGTGGCTGTATGTGTGCCCATTTTTTCCCAATGTGTTTCCAGATTCTTTAACTAACTCTTCACTACCACCATACACACAGTGCAGTTTTATGCATTTTATCTACTAAAAGTAGGGTCCATAAAAAGTTCACAGAAAACACATATTCTGGGGGAAAAAAAGCTATACATGGATTTCAAAAAAGAGTGCTAAAATAAACTTACCTTTTGATTCCATTTTTCCACTTTTGAAGTATACCCTCATAAATACCAGTTGAATGGGCCTCCTGTTGTATAATTATGTGTTTACATTGATTTTCAAAACAAATTAGGGGGAATTAATTTTCACTACCAGAACCTAATGGATTCTCTGATTCCCAACACTGTGAACTCTTAGGATATGTCAGAAAACAAATAAGGAATTTTTCTTTCTGGAATGGCTCTAAAGCTTGACAAGACTCATCTACAGTTAAAACTACAATCAGCCAAAACACTGTGGGACAAGACAGAATAAGGATGTTCCTGCTGAGGCTTAAGAGGATCACCATTTCCATTTCAAATGGGACTGTTCTGATTTTCTGCCACAAAATTAGACCCTTCTCCTAAGAGGGAGAAACATACTGGGTTTTGATCACTCTTTCCTCTCACAGGGCATTTGATGAGGGCGCTCTGCATATATGCATGAGCCCCTGGGTGCCTTCTGGAAGTTGATCTACTTTTCTAGAACCAGCCCTCCCATAGTGCTTCCCTTCCCTCTTGCTTCTGTCCGGATGCACCATGCTTCAGTGTGCACACCAATTTCCTCCACTTTTCCAAAACAAACTAAATGTCATGTCGAACAGCACAATAAGAGTACCATTACAAAGCCCTCAAAGGGCTCGGAATGCTCAAGTTTGTGCAAGAACGATTCGCACGGATTTGTTGAGCTTCGATTCCTTGGGTTTTCTAGTGCTGGGGCTTGGTCAGCAGCCTGGGACAGTTCTTGCGCACCTGGGCAGAACATAGTAGATACTTCTCAGCGACCCCTGAGGGCCTCACCTCCTCCCTGGCCAGCTCACCACCATGCCTGTGCACCTCTGACCTGTGATTGTTTTGTTGCCTATTCACATCTCTCTCTTCCATTTGTTTCCCTCAGAGGAGATCTTGAAGACCCACATTGCGCACTGGTGGTCTCCAGATGGCACGAGGCTCGCCTACGCCACCATCAACGACTCCCGCGTCCCACTCATGGAGCTCCCCACCTACACGGGCTCTGTCTACCCCACAGTGAAGCCCTACCACTACCCCAAGGTACGTGGGAAAAAAAGACAGAGCAGATGCTTTTGATTATTCATGCTTGCACCCCGCACACCCAGCTGTCTCAGTGTGGAAATGTGTTAATCAGACGTGTTTATGAGTAATGCAGTAAACAGAGAAGAGATTCATTATTTCTCATTATGTTGCATTAAGTTCCTATCTTTGTTGAGCTGTATTTGTTGGCTGCTTCACTTTACTTCAGATAATGGGACTACTGTTAATCATTTGCCTAAGCATCACTGAAAAAAAATGCATTGGCTTCATCCTGAATTCCAGGTGTCAAAGCTCACGTACTGCCAACACTGACTGCTTAAATTCCTGTGGGGAGCTTGGCTATTTGGTGAGCAGAGGGCTCCTTTCCAGTCCTGCTCCCTGGGTCTGGGTGTGGCTGCACTGTCTTTGGGTTTTGATTGGGTCCAAAATTTTGCGTCTTTCAAAATTCCTATGTAAAAATCTAAGGTCCAAGATGATGATATTAAAGGATGGGGCCTCTGGGAGGTCATGGTTAGAATAGTTCATGAGAGTGAGGCCATGGGGATCGAGGTTAGTGTCTAGTGAGCAAGACAGGGGAACTGTTGAATTTCTATGCTGTGATGGTACAGCAAGAAGGGCCATGTGTGATCTTGGTCTCCTAGCCTCTAGAACAGAGAGAAATACATCATGGTTGTTTATGAGCGACTCAGTTTCTGGTATTGTATTACAGGAAACTTGAGGAGAATGAGGTAGTCATGTTCTGACCTGAAGAGCCAATGGAACATCAAGGGTCCAGTGGAGTGTTGAGGGGTGGGAGTTGGTAGGGAGTGGAAGTAGCTGGGGAGTAGTGGCAACAGGACATCCAAACCTCATTTCATTATCCAGTCACATCAATCCAGAGTGAGTGGAGGAGCTGATGTGAAAACCCATATGGCCTGCTCCGTTGAAAAGAGGTTAATATCAGAGACTAGGAATGCAGCTCTCACGGAAATAGAAGGTCTACTGGCTTCACTGGATACCTGCAAGGCCACTTGGTGAGAGGAGTGTGAGCAGTTCAGTGCCTGAGTCCCACCTTTATTCTGCCGAAGACTGCCTCTGAAACACCCCTTGCAAGTCTTCCCCAGGAAGCATTTGAACTTCAGCTCCCTATCCCACCAGGAAGCCCTGGGAGTCAGTCATCCACGCCCCCTACACCATGCACATTCTATAGACCTGCTGTCCTGTAGTTTTCAGTAAGAGCCATGAGAAAAGCATAACATACCAGAAGACAGTAAGTTCCCAGACCCACAGGTCAGAGAATGGAAACACTTGGCGCCCTAGCCCTCTCCCGCCACTAAAGCCGAAGATCACAGACTTGGTGACTAAACAACAGACATTTATCTCTGACAGCTTGTGAGGCTGCTAAGTCTGAGGTCAAGGTGCTGGCCCATTGGCTTGCTGGGGAGAAAGAGAGTGTTCTTGCTGGCTTGCAGTCAGCTGCCTACCTGTTACGACTTCACAAGATGAAGCAAGACAGAGCACTGGTCTCTTCCTTTGTTTACACAGGTACTAATCCTGTCGTGGCAGTCACACCTTCATGGCCTCATCCAGCCCCAGTCACCTGCCATAGACCTCCCATTCCAAACATTGCCACACCAGCGCTTAGGGCTTCAACAGAGGATTTTGAGGGGACATCATCAGTCCAAACCTTGTGCAAAACATACTCCTTTCCACAGCCCTGGGATGGGTATGATCAAGATCCAAGTGAGTCCCAGCCTAGAAGGAGCACAAGTCTGCTGAGGCTACAGCTTGGACCTCTGCTTTTCCCATTCTTAGAGCATCTGGATGGCAACACACTCCACTCTTTGCGCTCTATTTTCAGTCAAACTGACTGCACTGAACTCTAGTGCATGGAAAAGACCGGAGTGGACCGATGCCAAATCTTCCTGATTCCTTTTTATTCTCAAAATATACACAAACACATACACCAACACATATGGTTCCATGAATGCACGCACATTCACCCATACGTACATACAGGCCCTTACTCACACACAGACCAGCCGGAGAAGGAAGAATTTTCATGGTGACCCTTATGGAAGTTCCCCCAGCCAAAGACTAACAACCTGCGATCCTCACCAACGGCGCTAGGACAGGTTCTGAAGATGGGGTTTTGATGTTCCACGTTGCTCAGGATGGGGAGCTCATGCCGTAATATAAAACAACATGCTTGGCAAGCACAGATGGGGTGCTCTTTGCCCCATCCCCACCCACTCCAAAATCCAAGTTGTAAGTTGGTAAATCTGCCCTGCTTGTGCCTTCAGATAGGTTCGTTTCCTGCATTAAACAGAGCACTTCGTGGAAGGTGCTAGAAAATAAGAGTATCAGACCAACCCAGTACATTGGAGGAGAAATGCCACAACTTTCCTGCACACTTCTAGGTACTTGTTTCCCAGAAGGGAGCCGGGAAGCAGAACTGTTCCTATTTTTTCCTTATTAAATCCTTCACTATATCCGACCCCCTTGTACCCTGTGTTTATCACCCTGAGCTGGCCTTTCTGGTCTTGCCCCATCTTCCTGTCTATAGAGGAACTCACTTCATGCACATAAACCAAGTTGGAAGAAAGAGGATAGAAGCAAATCAGCCCAAGTGCCTCTTCAGCCTTGTCGATGCTCTGCACATGAAGCACCTGTCTTGAGTGTGCACGTGGCTCCTGCGTGTTGGACCCTAGAGTTCTCGGAGATCCACCTGGGCCTCTGCTGGAGAGGCTGCAGGAGGCTGCTCATTCACGTCTCTGTCCTTGTCCCTCCCCAGGCCGGCTCCGAAAACCCCAGCATTTCCCTGCACGTGATTGGCTTGAACGGACCCACCCATGATCTGGAAATGATGCCACCTGATGACCCACGCATGAGGTTTGTTTGCTTCTGTTATGAAAAATACTAAGATAAAGGTTCAAGTGCTTGGTTTCTGTGGAATCTGACTTATTTTGCTACCGTTTAAACACCCAACAGAAAGGTAAGTTTTCAGGACTGTTTTGTGATTTGGTGCTTTAGGAAAAGGAATACCAGCCAACAAGGACTGCTACTATTTCTTGGTTAATTTCAGGAGCAAATTAGCTTCCCTTGAGACAGGGTTCCATTGAGATCGACTGTAGATCTGTGCAGGGACAGCCTGGCTAACAAAAGTAATGGAAGAACTGTCACAGTATTTCCCAGGAAATCTGTGGGGCTGGAATTTCTAAAAGCAGTCCCCTGGTTCAGGAGCATCATTTCCAAGCATTTCTGTAATTTTCCAATTCCAACAGCTGTGTGATGCACTCTGTTTTAATAAGGCCAAACTTCCCAGACAGTAAGATTAAAAAAAAAATAGTTGTGAATCATATTGCCAATGTGATGGACATAGTATTAATGTCTGGTTGTTACAGCTTTTTAAAAAATCAAAACAGTTGTGTAACATCTACCCAAGTGAAGTAACCCGGGGCTCAGTTTTCTCTGATCCACAAATTCAGTCCGAGTGCCGATTATCCTTACACACTGCAGTTCTGTCATCGTTCAACTTTTGATTGTTGAGAATACTGGTGAGAAATTCAAGAAAATGGAGAATTTAGTAGCACCAGGTTCCACTCATGTTTAGATCCCTAATTGTATAAATGGGGTTATTTATGCCAACAGTGACTCACTCTCGGGCTCAGCAAATAGTCCAAATTTTTCCAAACCACTAGCTGGGGGTCATCATTATTCAATTACAGGACTCCATATTATTTGTAGCAGCTGGCAGCTACCAGAGGAGCAGGTGCCTCTGGCCACAGCATCTCTGGGTCCCCTGGCTCAGGGACGGATGCTTAGATCTTCATCCAACACCCAAGTCCTCGCACAGAAGCCTGAGACCTCTGTAGAATACTACTGAGGTTCATTCAACCCTCCTTTCTTCCACAAAACTTAACACGCCATGAGACCCTCCAATGGACTGACACAAAACCCTGTATGCTGGAGAGGCAGTCCCTGCCCTCATCCTTGCCGGCTCTCCTCCCTCCCCTGGGCACCAACATTTTTCCAGAGTGGATGGGCCTGGCTCCTAAGCAGCCAACCCAGGGCCTGACTCTGCATGTACACGCTGAGGGATTTGGATCTATTTGGCTGACAATCTCGTCTAGGATTTTTTTTTTTAATGTGCAACTTCTGGCTTCCGCTTCTCTCCCAGAGATCCAGCTATCTCATGGCTTTCCTTTCAGCCCCCATCCCTGGCGAGCCTCCTGGGGCCTGGTCCAGCAAACTCACTGAATTAATATGGAAAGTCACCTGGAAAATTTCAGCCATCTGTTTGAGTTAATTGAAAATCTCATTCAGTCAATTTGGTGATGCTGTTTCCGCAGGCATGATTAGCTTCAAGGACAATGAAAAATTAGCTGCAGTCAGGACCTGAAGTTTGGTTGCAGGGTTTCTGGTTTTCTGCTTGCTCTAATTTCCTAAGCTAAATGCGATAATGCATTTTATGCCCAAAATAAATCTAGAATATGCAAATGTCACTTTCTCGTGCTGCTGTTCTGTCACACATCCTTGAGATTTTTTTTTTCAAGTGAACACAGCGTATCAGAAGTCATAGACTAAATGTGAGCAATTATTTAGCATGAACATTTGCTAGAAATTAGCCTGAGAACTGGGAATTTGCTGGAGATGGAAATGTAGAGCGGACAGTATGAAGGGGGATATAGACCTGGAAAAAATCATTACAAATAAACAGGCATAGAAGGTCAGGAAGAAATGTGTAAGAGGCAGTCAGGCGTGCAGGGTCACAGTGTCGTGGTCTCTACCCAAGTCTTCCAAAGAGTCCCAGCAGTGCTGGCAAGTTAATGCCTGATGACTCTTTCCTGTGGGGAACTGCCCCGAGCCTTGTAGATTTGATAGCATCTCTGCCCTTTATACATTGAATGCCAATAGTAACCTGCTTCTCCCAACCCCTGCCCTTGCTGAGACCATCCAAGATGTCTATAAGCCTTTTCCAGTGTTCCCAGATAGAGAGCAACTGGTTCAGGGCAGATTCTCCATCCCACTGCCAGGGTTCAATGTCAGGTTCTGTGGTTCTGGGTAAAATGGCATGTTAATAATAAAATCGTGTCTTGCCTTGAGTGATTGTGAACATTTAAAGAGATGAGCAGAGGAGATTGGGACTGGATTACTGAATCATTCACAAAATTCCGGGAGAGGGGTAGGTGCAGAGATTTCTTGAAATCCTCAATTTCTATACAGCATCCAGTGGGAAGCAATCAAGAATGAGAATTAACAGGTTTGCAGTGTCAGTCATGCTTCTTACTGGTCATTGCCCTTTCCTTTCTTTGGTTGGTAACCTGCCTGAGTTCCCCCAAGATACTATGAACATCGAGTTAACATTTTCAAATCCTTTGATGAGGTCAGGGGCGGAAACTGTCCTGCTTGTGAGACATCTACCACCTGCAAGCTCATGTGGTCTGACTCTGCCAAGGCCATAGGCACTCGGGACTTGACATGCAATAAATCTACAGCAGGCTGATCTTTAAGTTGATAACTTTGCATGGGCCACAAATGATACTGTAAATACCAAATGACCCTTGGCAGAAAAAAAAAAAAAGTTCCCCACCCCCGAATGACTAGACAAACAATCACCATATGTACCATGCAATATGTTAGAAACTTGGGCAATTAACAATTGGTGGACTCTCACATCGAAGGACTCAAGGCAATAAAACTTCAATAGCTAGCCTGACCAGTAGCTGTGATGAATATAGAAGAAACCAGCCTGGAAAAAAAAAAGGACGCTTGATGGGGGAGAGCAGAGGGTATTTGGAATGGCTTCCCGGATGCCAAAGATCATGAAAAACACTGGTGGCCAAATTGGACATCTGTGTTAAGGAGAACCAAACGTAGTGGCCCCAATAAAACTGGATCAGCCTTCACAGGTAAAAACAGCAGCAAGAATGCATTGTCAAGCTGAGTTACACTGAACCTGTCCCAAAAAAATCCTAAATGTGGTACAGCCTGTGAGTGGAAAAAAAATAAATGGAAGCCACTAGGTGCTGGCTGTCCCGAGGTTTCCACCACTTTACATAGAAACCCAGCTGCACTGAGAAAACATTTGTTTGTTTCCTGGTTTCCTTAGGCCTTTTCAGGGTGATAGAGTTGGTTATTGAATTAAGCTAGGGCAGATACCCAGCGGAATCCTTCTGTACTAAGATGTGCTTTTGTTCTGCAAATATCCCACGCAGGCATAGTGCAAATGCTGGCCCTGCATGCTGCTCCCGATTGCTTGACAATAGCAGGTTATAAAGGATTTACACAGCCTTGGGAAAAATCAACACAGTGTCCTGTTGCACCTGAGCCTCGATCACTGGGGCTCCGTGTGCTCTACACACCCACCTCCACGGCGTATTAAAGGCCTCTCACACTTCAAAAAACCTTTCTTAATCCATCACTTTCTATTTCTCCAAAGAGTTAGTTTTGCTTGGATCTTGGCACAGCTCTAGCATTAATCCAAGCAAGGCTACTGTTATTTATTCTTTCTCAATCATATGTTCTACTCCAGTGCCCTGCCCCACTTGCATGAGCACATGGTTAAAATGGAATTGAGCTTGCTGTTGCCTATTTTTGCACAACCTGTAGTGTTGTGTGTGCGTGATTATGCAGGCTTTACAAACACAGCGCTCTTAGAGTAGATAACACATACAGCTACAGATACAGGTATCCCACCCCTCCCTGTTTTACTCTGTAAGCCCCGAGTGTGTGGATGGCACATTTCCAGCTCACTGGGTGATATGCACTTTACGATGATGCTCAATTGCTGCAAACTCCCAAGCAGCTGGTACCCTCTTGGCCTCCTCTATGATACAGCCTATGCTGACCCAGATATGAAACTCAGTCTTTCAGTCTTCCTCTTTTTCAGTTTGTATGAATCACAGTGTTATGGGTCATCTTCACTAGGCACTAGGGAAGCCAAACCTCCTCAGGCCGTGAAAGCTTCCTAAATGATAGAATCCCTGTGCCTAACGACCTGAGCCCCGCTACAATAAACATTAGGAAAAGCACCAACCACCACCTCCCCACCACCACCATTATTAAGATCACCATCTTTTCCACCATCCTCTCACTTTGTCCCTGCTTCTGCCTGTGAGGAGGGTCCCTCTGCCTCTGTTTCTAACACATGCAGACTCTACTGTTTGACACTGCAAATCTATGTTGTTGTGGCTCGTGTGCTAAAGCGCAGCCAGAGTATCCCGAAGACCCTGCAGGAATAGGGAGACTGATGTTTGACAGGCTTGTGAAGAGCAATAGACATCAGAGGAGTAGAATATGATTCTGCCTACCCTTGTAGCCTGCACCGGAGTCTTGGCATCTGAAAATGCCAATCACATGAGACAAGGTTTTCCAAGGCCATGCCACCAGGTCTGGTGAACCACATGACGATAACCTCTGAGAATAGAAGTGATAGCTCCACTTCTCTCCCATGAGCCAGAGGTAGTAAGTCCAGAGCACTGATAACGATAGCATCTGAAAGAAACTAGAACTTGGCAAAATCCTGATGCACTAAGATGTAAACAAATATGATCACCTACCACCCACTGACAAGTCAGGGTTTTTCCACTATCTTCATGGCTTTCTTAAGCTGGGATTCTGTTACTATCAAGACTCCTGAGGTTTCCCCTTGTCCTTTCCAGATGGCAGGCTCACTGCTTTCCCCTCCTGCAGTCCTCTGAACCCTGCCGGCCCCAGCCTGAACAAATCCAAAAACAGTGGGATGCAGTCTCCCCAACGGGCTTTCCCAGTGCACCTGCTGTACATGTCGCTCCCTTAAAGACACTGACGAGACACCACACTTGAGTCAGAACAGAACAGTCCAGGCCCTCAGAACAAAAGCCAGTTCTCTGAGGGACTGGGTTATTCCT